TCTGCTGAAATCGATTGACCAGGTTTCATGAAGCTGTAGTAGATTATACCAATGCTGGACCACCAAACAGAAACCATTAGCTTTTTGGATGGATATTCAGTTTTGGACTGTATTTTGGCATGTCATCTTTATTCAACCATTGTGACAAATACTTGCAATTGTCAAAAAGGATACATTTTTCATCAAATGTAACAATACGGTGTAGAAATGGTTCACTTTTATGTCATGACAGCAAATAAAGACAAGCTTCAAGATGATTTCTCTTCTGACGCTCGTTTAATTCATGCACAACCCTTCTATCCACCTTCTTTATCTTGCCTATTTGTTTAAATGGTCCAATATTGTTGCCATAGTAACATTAAACCTTGCTGCTAATTCATGCATAGATTGAGATGGATTTGCTTCCACTATAGCTTTCAGCTCATCATTATCCACCTTGGTCTCAGGTCGCCCACATGGCTCATTTTCAAGATTAAAATCACCTGAATGGAACTTCTCAAACCATCAAAGTACCATGTGTTCATTAGCCACATCCTTCCTAAACACTTCACTGATATTTCAAGCTGTCTGTGAGCACTGGTTCCAGGACAGAACTCATATTCAAAAATAACTTGAATTTTTGATTTATCCGAGGTTTCATAAAAATTGTTCCAAATAAAAATTTGAAAGATAATCATAAGCCAAAATGTGTATTTAAAAGTCTGAGGATGTACCTTCACAATAAAAATAAAAGAAGTGTCATAGTGAAATGTCTGCATTCTTGTATGATTACCATTCTGTTTGGAGAACTTCTTTTAGTCATCCTTCATGGGTAGGTTTTATAGCAACAAATTATTTGAGTTTCCCTTGAACTGAGAATGTCTTTATCTGACTTAATTTTCCTGAATATTGTTGCTGGATATAGAATTTGTGGTTGACCTATCTTTTCTTTCAGCATTTCCTTCTGTTGTCTGTGGTTTCAGATAAAAAATCTGCTGTCATTTGATTTGTTTTCCCCCTATAGTTAATGTGCCATTTCTCTGTTTTCTGTTAAGATTTTTTTTGTCTTTAGTTTTCAGAACTTTAATTATATATATATATATATATATATATAGCTGTGGATTTATTTGGGCTTATGCTATTTATGTTCATCTAATTTCTTGAATTTGTAGTTGTATATATATCACAATTTCTTAGGGAAGTGGACTAGTCCTGTTTCCCACCTCCTTGCTCAGTCTTTTTACTATTAGGTGAAGGTAGAGGTTCAGTTCCCTGTTCACACCATTGGTGGAGAGTGAAGTACTAATTAGCTCTGACTCCCACTGCTTTGTTCAGTTTCAGTGATGCTAAACGAGAGTGGAAGCTCAGCTTCTCACTGAGCCCTACTTGCACTGGTTAAGGGGAAGGGGTGAAGCATAGTAATAGGTGAAGCATAGTAGAAATTGCCCCCTTCTTGGACCCTCTCATTAAGTCTATGTGTTGGCCAGGCATTAGCGGAGGCTTAGTTCACTGCTGGACCACACTGCTGCTATCTCTGCAAGGAATAAAGATATAACACCTGCTTCTGTCATGGAGAGAATGGAAGATCAGCTCCCCACTTGGCCCTACTGAAACAATGGCGGCAGAGAGAGGTATGGTGGTTTTTGTGTTGGTGTATGGCTGGAGTAAAGTGGCTATTGCCAAAAAGGTTCTTTGTAGTTAGGCCTCCCTTTTCCAGATCCTTTGCCTAGTGGCAAAATGCTTTTCTTTGAGCTTCTATTATCTGCGCCTGTTGACAGTTCTGGGTTGGAGGCTTCAGCAGATTTTCCATCTGGCATATATAGATTATGGTAAGCAAACCCAGGGAACTCACCACTTTATCTTTCCTCAAATTCTGAGGTCCTTAGTCCATCCATCTTCTTTCCACATTTCAGGGACTTTCTTTACTTGTTAGTTGTCCTATGGTCAGGACTTACTTAGTTTCAAGAGGGAGGACCTGGAACGAATGGGGCTACTCTATCTTAGGAAGAACTAGATGTATTCCTTCCTATACCTCCATGGTATTTTGGACAGTTATAATACCCACCCTTCACCATTAAAGACATATGGACACTGCATTATGATTTGGGGAAGGGTAATTGTATGTAAGGGGTTCCTACTCTACTATCTGTGGTACCTCATTTCCCAGAGCATAGAAAGCCCACTCCTTATTCCTGTGAGCCCTGGGTAATTGATATCAAATGTTATCTTCTCTCATGAGACATGAGAGGAAGATATAGATCATTTCTTTATTTTCCTAAGCCACATTGCATTTTAGTCCAAACTGCACATACCTGACTGGTATAAGTCCAATATCAGTGATTTCAAGGGTTCCTTTCCTTCTCTATGGGATCTCATTAGATTTGTGATGCTTAAACGGTCCCAGGAAAAAGAAGATGGCAGCAGTCCTTAGTTCATTTTGCTATGGATACCCTCCTTGTTTGTTCTAATGAAAGATGATATAAGAATAGCTTACAAGGGCCTTGCTAGTCTGTCCAGCTGCTGCTCCACTAGAGCCATAGAACTGCCCCTTTAAGCAGGCCTTGCCAATGATCACAGACTGAATCCCAGAATTCCTCATGCTCTTAGTGTTTCTACTATTTGTATTCAACCTCCGCAGAAGTCCTGCAGCCATATCCCATCATTTGTGGTGCAGCAAAGAAGTGAAGCTTATCAAATTTCTATCACTAGCAGAACCTTTCACTCAGTCCCTGGCAATTCCCCAAACTCTCAAAAGTGGATAAGAACATGGAATATGGATTCAGACTACTTGGGTTCACTTAATAATAATTAATTGACTTTCGACAAAATCAACCTCTCTAAATCTCAATTTCCTCATCTACAAAATGGGGATTATAATAGTGGGAGCCACCACTATTAAAATAGTGGGTTAAACAAGATAATATTTGTAAAGTTCCTGCAACAATTCCCATTACTATAATAATATAATAAAAGTATAAGGTAATAGTAAAGTATAAGTTCTACATACATAATAGGTACAATTTCCCTGCCTGGGCCATTCTTTTGCTTTGGTCTCTACCCAATAATATCCTTTTTCGTTGCCCAGGCTTTTACAATATTCACCTGGATAATGCCCATTTTCAGCGTAATCCTGAAGTACACTGAAGATATTAATATTCTACCTGCAACACATCATACACCCCACTTGGGTGAGAAAAGCCTAGACCAGTGTTTCTCAAATGGGTCACAGATCATCTGCATCGAATCTTTAGGGGTAGAGCCAAGGGTTATGTATATTTATTAAGCTGCCCCTGTGATTTTAATGTACACTAAAATTCATGAACCACTTCTTTACACTATCCATGCCTTTTTATATATGATTGCCTCTCTCTAAAATGTCCATTTACTCATGCCTACACCTGCAGAAACAAAATGTAGCTTCCTCCATGAAGACTTCCCTAATTGTATGTTCACCAACACCAGTAGATCCAGCCTCTTCTGTATGGGATGAATGGTATGGGGAGGAGTCAGAATTGTGGTTCAGGAGTGTTGGGGAGCACTAGAATGCAGCAGCTGGACAGGAGGGTGAGAAGGACCTATGGCTTGTACTTGGAATAAGTGCACTTGAGATGAAATTGCACAAATGCCTGGTGGAAGAGGAGAGAAAATTAACAAAAAGGGAAGGAGGTGGGGGAAGCAGCAACAGAGTCGCTCCTATGGTCTCTTCTGACTGGTCAGAAGAGTAAATTCATACTCACATTCACTCACTCAGCAAACAGGTTTTGTGGAGGATATAGGGGTTTGTTCATAGTTGGTATGACCATCAGTTTTTCCACACAATGTATCATTGTGTAACTGAAATCACTGTGCAACTGAGCATGCCTCTGGGCCTGCCACCTGATTGAGTGCTCTGAAACAGCAGAGCAGGGTATGAACCTTTTGAGACTGTTAAACTCATTCTATGAAATGCTAAGCCCCACACTATTGTATTCATATGGGTTCCTGCTTCTTGATGTATGTTACCTCTTTCTCTGCTTGTGAAAATCCTGTTCATCCCTCAGGGCTCCATTCAAAATCTCCAGGGGCTATACCCAGTCACCTGGATCACTGGGACTGACAATGGGGACATCAATCCTCCCTTCCAGGAATGTGGAGGGAGGTGCCCCTCCCCTGGACACTTCCACTCCACCTCCTTAGGGCTCTGAGATTCACAAGAAACTAGCATTCCCCATAAAACCCTCCTCACACTCCCTCATTGCCCAACAGCTCAGCCCATCAGGTTCTCAAGGCTGCACCCAACCAAAGGATCCCAGACATCACCATGGGAGGCACATATGGCCCAGAGATCTGCATTGCAACGCATCCCTCAGGGATTTAGATGCAGTAGCTCAGGGATCTCAATTTGAGGGCAAAAAATGTTTGGTTGAAACTATTTAAGACACCAAGAGAGGGGCTAAAACTGAGGGGGTTGCAAGTTTTATGTAAGGGTAAATGTCTCCCTGCCGCTGCCAAACTCTTTCATCCCTCGCCCCAAGTTCAATGTCTAATCTTAGCGAGCTATCTCCCAGATTGCACCAAGAGCACGTGAGTTTCTTCACACAGATCATGATCAGGGCTCCATCTAGCCCCAGTCTTGACCATATTTTAAGTTTAACATTTTCTCTAAGTAGGGATTTTAAGAAGGCTATTTGGCTGCGGTCTTGAGGGTGGAAAAATGCCAGGTGTCAGATACTGGAGGTCCTGGAGCTCAGGCCCTCAGTGACTGTCTCCCCACAGAGCCATTACCCTCCCCGTCCCCTCCCTGACTGGCCCGCACTACCCAGCAAACACCCCACACCCGCTCCTCCCATCCTCCCACTGCCTCCGCCCCTCACACTCACCCCCTCCCCCAACCGTCCTCCTCCCCCCGCACTGACTTCTCTCCCGCCGCGCGGCCAGCCGCACTTCCTGCCCTCGCCTAAGTCCGTGGCGCCCTCACCACCACTCTCCGCCCGCATTGGGCTTCCTCTGGCCTCGCGTTCCTCGCTGAACCCTCAGCCCCCCCTCCTCGGACTCGAGAGGCTCTGCGCCCGCCGTCGCCTCAGCCTCCTGGCCCTTGAGACCCTGCGCTCCTAGCTGACCCAGAGGAACCGCCATCCTCTCTGCGGCCAGGACCAACTCGGGTGCCACGCGCCTCCGCCGCCACTCACCCACCGCCCACCATGACCCCGCAGCAAACAGGTATCGGGAAGCGGAAAGCGCCCGCAGTCGAAGCTGGCGCCGGGAGCTCGTCGTCTCCGGGGGCGGCGGGGGACGGAGAGGGGCCGCTGCTGCCCAAGAAGCAGAAGCGGCTGGAGACGCGTCACTCCCTGGTGCACTACCTGAGGGGCCGCGAGGTGGGCGCGGGGGACCGCGCGGGGCTCCCGGGCTTCGAGGGCGAGCTGAGCAGCTACGCGGCACGGAGGCTGCCGGAGCTGCTGACAGAGCGCCAGCTGGCCCTGGGCACCCTCAACAAGGTGTTCGCGTCGCAGTGGCTGAACGCCAGGCAGGTAGTGTGCGGCACCAAGTGTAACACGCTTTTCGTGGTGGACGTGCAGTCGGGCCACATCACACGCATCCCCCTGCTGCGGGACAGGGTGGCAGGGCTAGGCCGGGCCCAGCCGGGTTGCGGCATTCATGCCATCGAGCTGAATCCCTCCAAGACCCTTCTGGCCACCGGGGGCGAAAACCCCAACAGCCTGGCCATCTACCAGCTGCCCACCCTGGACCCCGTGTGCCTGGGCGACCGCCACGGCCACAAGGACTGGATCTTCGCCATCGCCTGGCTGAGTGACACCGTGGCCGTGAGCGGCTCTCGCGACGGCACCGTGGCGCTCTGGCGGCTGCACCCGGACATGTTCCAGGGCAGCATTGCCCAGCACAACGATGTGGGGCTCCCCGTGTACTCCCACATCCATCCGATGGATGTAGAGGCCATCCCCAGGGCCAGCATCAACCCCAATAACTGCAAAGTGCGAGCGCTGGCCTTCAGTGGCAAGAACCAGGAGCTGGGAGCGGTGTCCCTGGATGGCTACTTCCACCTGTGGAAAGCCCGGAGCACCCTGTCCAGGTTACTGTCGCTCAGGCTGCCCTACTGCCGAGAGAATGTTTGCCTGAACTACTGCGATGAGTTGTCCCTGTACGCGGTGGGCTCCCAGTCCCATGTCTCCTTCCTGGATCCACGCCAGGGCCAGCAGAATATCCGGCCCATGTGCTCTCGTGAGGGCGGCTCGGGAGTGCGTTCTCTGAGCTTCTATCAGCACGTTGTCACTGTGGGCACAGGCCATGGCTCCCTGCTCTTCTATGACATACGCGCGCATAAGTTCCTGGAAGAGAGGGCCTCATCCAACCCGGACTCCCCTCCAGGGTCTGCAGGGAGGAAACTCAAGCTCATCTGTGGCAGAGGTTGGCTCAGCCATGATGACCTGTGGGTGAACTACTTTGGTGGTGTGGAAGAGTTCCCCAATGCTCTCTACACCCACTGCTACAACTGGCCTGAAATGAAGCTTTTCGTGGCTGGGGGGCCTCTCCCTTCAGGCCTCCATGGAAACTACGCAGGCCTCTGGAGCTAAGCATGGCTGCCTCGTTCTCTAAGTGCACAAATTTACTTTTCAGTTCAGTCTAATTTTCCTTCCTGATGCTCTTTTTTCGTGCTTTTGATGCTGTGTGGCTTTTGTCTTCTAGGTATAATTGACCTAACTTAACCAACCTGTGCCCCTCCAAGCAGAGAGAGAGATCCTCTGGTCAATCAAAACTTGGTTTTAAGACTTCTGCTCCTCCCCAACACCTTCTTTTTGCCTTCTCACACAAGGAATTTTTGCTAATCTTTAGTTGCATTTTCTCTTTGAATAAGTCACATACTCTCTTTCTTTAATGGGGTCATGGTCTTTCGGTTACATATAGTTTCTTTTTTTCTCATTGCCAGTATTACAACAGGATTGTTTTTATTTTTCATTTCAGTTATGTGATGTGTACTGTTAGAACATTTTCTAATAAACAGGGTGTTTGTATATCTGTTCTGGAGAGCTAATCGTAGTTTTATAGCAGTGTTCCAAATGGAAAAATACATTCCAAGTTCTAGATTACCTACTTTTGAGAACATTTCATTTGCAAATTTTGATCTTAGTGTACGTAGTTTGTAAGTTGTTGGCGCTAAAGTGCTTTTTAAAAGTTAATTCTCTTTGAAAGGAAGTCTTCATAGAATTTTGTGTTTGTATCAAAATGCCAATTGGTCAGAATAGTTTAGGAATAGAAGATTTGTACTCAATTGAATGTTCAGAGTTAATCTGAAAATCTAATCAGTCTTTTTCTCTTTAAAGCCTTATTTAAGTTTCTATGATTTGCCCTTAAACAGATAAAAGAATGTGTATTTTTCACTTCTTGCCTTAGTACTATCAAGACTTGTGTATATAGTTGAATGTTTGTTGTTTGAGAAACTTGCACAGAGTTTTGTAGCCACCATTCACAGCAGGGATTCTAAGTGTAAATGAATATATGGTGGGCTGGGCAGAATGTACACTGATCCAGGCTATAGACTGGATATTTTTGCTGTTGCTATTTAAATATCAAATGTTATATTTGAGCATATTTTAAGATTTCTAATTCTGTTTAAGAGTTAATTCACAAGGAAACACTACAAAAAAGAAAAATCCCATTCAGCTCATTCTGAAAAAAGATTCTCAACGTGTACAGTCCAAATTAGTAAGATTTTATTTTGTGAATTTCAAAGATTCTTACCTAAAGTAGAATAAATATGTTGTTAAAAAGTGGTGACGTTATTACCCTCAATGTAATAATATGCAATTATAGTGAACACAGTAAGTTTTTCTGAAAAAGATGAGCAGAGATTTAAAATAAATGGGATTAGGTTAAAGAAAAGTAAATTGCAGCTCAGATAAATACAACTTGTGGACTGCTATGAAAACTGGTTGTATTTATCTGAGCCCCACTGTACTTAGATTCTGAAATAAAAAAGAATATTAAAAAAAGAAAACAGGTTGTAATTCTCCAGAGAGGAGTTTATTAAAAATGAGAAAGGAGAGTGGCCCTTCCTCAAAACTGGCAAGGTTGTGGTGACCTTGGATTAGTATTATGTCAAATCTGTTTTTCTTTGAATGTTTGGGTACTCGGTTGCTGCCTTGGTGTCTATCTGAAATAAAAAAGAATATATATAAAAAAATAAAACAGGTTGTGATTCTTCAGATAGGAGATTATTGAAAATGAGAAAGGAGAGTGGCCCTTCCTCAACACTGGCAAAGTTGTGGTGACCTTGGATTAATATTATGTCAAATATGTTTTTCCTTAAATGTTTAAGCACTCAGTTGCTGCCTTAGTGTCTACACACTACAAGCTGTTCAATGGCAAATCCGAAACAAGTAATATACTGAACGGTACCAAATGTAAACTAAGAAATACAGAAAAGTAAGCTTTTGTTTTTGGTATTGTTTTACCCAAGTTTACATAATTTTTGTTATATAGTGATAAAATGTGTTTTTGTGCACCTATGTGTCTCCAACTCAGTCCTAAATGTCTTAAGAGCAGATAATATAACTGTCATCTTTATATTCCCTCACTTCTCCACTAATACCTAGCAAATCAAAGGCAATCAGTAAATATTTACTGATTTTCTTTTGGAGACCTAAATAAAGTTCAAGTTTGAAATAAATAAATAAATGTTTACTCTTAAATAGTATAGACTTTTGTTGTATTTTCCCCATTTTTTCCTTACATTTTGCACTATTTCATTTCCAGGTCAGGCTATGGTGCTTAACTGTTCATATACCAGATGAAGGAAAATGAATAAATTTTATATGGTACTGGAAATTAATCTTTTTACTTTCAGACATTTAGATTTGAATATTTCCTTAAAATATTTTGAGTATTTTTTCATAAAAATGCTTTTCATTTCTCTTCATTTGAAATATCTTGCTTTGTAGTTGTCTTTTAACTTAAAGATATATTTGCTAAAAATGTCCTTAAAAGTTACCCAAGAGTTTCATCAAAGTATTTGCTGACTAGTTTCTTGTAGGTAATAATGTATGTTTATGGTATTTTTGTAATTATTTTTGGACATAGGGAAACATTTTCAGAGGAAAAACACTTTCTAACTGGGGTGGGATTTCAGAGAAGAAATAGAAGGCATGTCTCTGATTTCTTCTCTGGCTTGGTCTTTAACTTCATCAGTGACTCACTCTCAACTTTCTCACATTTTGAAGTGTATCTTTTCCATGCTAAATCACATGCCCCAACTTTTAAAAAACTAAATAATCCAGCTATGTGTGCATTTATATTTTGCATATGGCTAGTTATTTTGAAATATTTTCGAGTTCTAAGAGAAAGTGATCTACAGAAGTATAATTGTATAACCTGTGAGTGTGAAATAATTAGAAAAAATAATCATGCTAGCACTCCAGAAAACCCATAAATGCAACTCACTTAAAATACCAAAGGAATGCAAATGTTTGTGTGCAAATAAGCTGTCTCTGCTGCCTTCAAAGCCTTAGTTACTTATAGCTATGTATAAAATGTTAATTCTATTTATCTCTAACTGCCTATTCATACATTCTTACCCAAGCATATTTCTTACTTAAAAGTTTATGCTCCACCCTTTACTCTGGAATGAGTTAATTTCTATTTTTTTAAAAGGGGGAGGAAAATTTTACTAATCAAGGATATCCACTGAAATAAATTCAGGTGACTACCCTGGAAAAAAATTCATCTGTTAAATATACTCTAGCGGTAATAATAAATAAAACTGAATTCTCCAGATGTTGATTTTTATCCGCCTATACTCAGTGTTGAACTTGTCAAAATTTTTCCATTAATTGCTAATTTAGAGTGATTTTAGAAGTAATTCGCAAAGCCCTCTCAGATGTTTTACTGACAGCTTCATAATCTCTGTAAGTATTATTAGGTAACCCAACTACATTAAACATGTCACTATGTGAGCTGCTCAGGGATGCAGTTCAGTGAGAACGACATGTACTAATATGAAATAGAGTCTGCATAGGCCACAGGTGTTTGCTTTAAGGGATGTTATTTTAAGATCAGAAAGAGCTGCCTAAAACTGTTTTCCACTACTGCCCTTCTGCAAACCTAGAAGACACCTAGCATTTGAATTTGGCATCAGCTAAAGGACAATGTGATTGCAGGAGGTTGCCATGAAATATTCATGCTGATCCTTAGGAAAGAGGGCTCTTTAACTGCTAGGTATTTACTTTGCACAGGCAGTTGTCTTTTCTTCTTATGCCCCTTCCCTACTTTTTTTCCTGTTAAAAACTCTGTGATTTCCAATACAGAACTAAACACTTCTCCATGCTTTCAGGGTAGATGTTTTATTATTATCTTTATTATAGCACTTAACAGATTATAATGCAGTTAACTATATGGGTGTCTACCGTCCCTTTCTCTCCATTTAAATGAGAACTCTCATCCTAACACCTAGCACAATAAGCTGCACATACATGGCACTGGGATGTTCAGTACAATAACAAATACAACAATTCCTTTGCATAAATTATTTTGTTAGATTACATGACCAGAACATTAGGGAAGGTGATTAAGGACTAGATTAATGGATGAAGAATATCCTGAAACATACTCCATGGTAGTGATCATGGTGATTTGTAGCGTGGTATAATGTGAATCAGGCAGCAGAAACTTTGATTAATTAACTCTTTTGCCCAGGAATGGTATTAGATCTGGGACACCAGGATGAAATGGAATACATATTATTTTAGAACTATAAAAACCTGGGTTTGAATCACAACTCTATTATTTGCTTATAATAAGCCAGGGGTATGTTTCTTAACATCTCTAAACCTGACCTTATACTGCAACTTGTTCTAGGCTTGGTACAGAGTGGCACACCAAATATAAGATTGTGTACTTACTTGAACCTCAACAGTTCATTGCAAACATTTATTGTGTGGTGGTAATCTGTCTAAGTATTTGCTTAATTCAGTAATTTTCAGACATTGGAATATATCAGAGCCACTTGCACATATTTTGAAAGTGAGAAATGCCTCAATTCATACCTACTGTAACAGAATTTTCTTGTAAAAAACACCATTTTATTCAAGTGTTTTGAAATAAATCCATTCAAAACGCAGCAACAAAAAAGGGCATCTGCCTTAGACATTTATGGTGTAGTAGGGGAAAAAGATACCTAATTTCCTTCATTACAAAAAAAGGTAAATATAACATTAAGGGTATGTACTAGTGCAATGAGAATATGTAAAGAATAGTAATTAATTCTGCCTGGAAGGTTATGGTGGGTTCCCAAAAGAGGCAATATTTGAGCTGGGTCTGGAAAATAAAATATGAGTGGAGAATGAGAGCCAATATTGGCTTCAAAGTACATTGTGAGTGTCTGAAATGTGTGGGCACATACACACATACAGGGCTGCTACCATTTGGCCTTGTGGAATTTGAAGTGGCTGTGAGATTTCCAGATGGGAAATGTCTAGTTGGCAGATAGAAATATTGATCTGGAGCTCATAAGAGAGGTTAGGGCTGGAAATACAGATGTGAAGGTCAGCACTATGGAAATGGTACCTGGGAGAGGCAGAGAGGGGTATAGTATCTCAGAAGCTAAGTCTTATGGTTCTCATTTCAAAATTCACCTATCTTTAACATTGATATAGGTATGCATTACTATCGTGGTCCCTAATCCCCTGGGAGGACCAACACTGGTCAGCAGAGCTTTGCCACCACCCCACCCCAACCCCATGCCTGGAAAAATTGTCTTCCTTGAAACTTACAAAGAGGTAGGGAGGGAGCACACAGCAGGAGGTGAGCGGCCAGTGGCTGAGCAAGTCTTCACCTGTATTTATAGCTGCTCCCTATGGCTCACATCACCCCTTGACTACCTGAGCTCCGCCTCCTGCCGCCCTGGCCACCCTGCCAGTCCATGGAAAAATTGTTTTCCATGAAACCGGTCCCTGATGCCAAAAAGGTTAGGGATCGCTGCTGCACGTAGTAGGTAATTAATGGCTTGCAGTTAAATAGCCAAAAAAAATGTTTGTTTAGTGAATATTAAACACTACT